TTTTTTGTGGATTTTGTTTGTTTGTTTGTTTGCTTGTTTTTAAACTGGGGATTGATCCTAGTTCTGAACCACATTCCCAAGTTCTTTTTATTTTTCATTTTGAGATAGGGTCTTGTTAAGTTGCTTAGGTCCTCGATAAGTGCTGAGGCTGGGTTTGAACTTGTGATCCTCCTGCCTCAGCCTCCTAAGTTGCTGAGATTACAGGCATGCACCACCATGCCTGGCTTGGTACATTTCTTGTATCACTATCTAAATTATATCTTTTATATGTCCTTCCACCTCCCTAGAATGAAAGCTTCATGTGAGCAGGGAGCTTATTAATCTTATTCACAACTATATTTCTGTTATCCAGGGTCCTGCCGGTGCTGGCTACTGGCAGGTGCATAGTAAATCTTTGAATGACTCAGTGAATGAATATCTCCCCCCTAAAACTCCTCAAGGACAGAAACCATGCTTGTTCTCCTTACAGCTTGTGGCAGCACACGTGCACTTTTATTAAAGTATGGTTTGGGCCCTCTTAAGCTCACTGCCTCACCATATCCATCTACTTTAGAGCAATCTATGGTTTCCACAGAAGCCACCTGGAACTTTCAGTGTTCTAGATAATTTGGGCAGTAGAAAACACTTTCTTTTTTTTTTTTTTTTTTGTCAGAGACTTTAGCAAATTAGTTCTGAAGTTGGGCTATGGAAACAGCCTGGTTCAAACCTCGTTCAAACTCTCCTTATTGACCACATGACTGGCAGTTCCCTAAACTTTATGTGCCGAGTTTATTCAAATGTAAATCCAGGCAAGCAATAGCACCTTGTTTTATAGGATTATTTTGAAAATTAAATTAGTTGCTATAGGTAAAATATTAAGAACCATTCTAGAACATGTGCTCAATAAATGTGAGTAGGATGATAATGTGATGATAGAGGTAGGATTTGCTCTGAAATTTCTATACTTTGTTATTATATAATCATTCCATTTTATTAGACATTTTTCTTTATTGTTTTCTCAAAATGGCATCATTTAGAAATATTTTTATGATTCAACTATTCACATTGTCATTTTTTAAAAAGAAGAGACAATTTGATTCCTGCATTAGTTATTTATAGTTATTATGCTAAGTTTATTTTCATGTGGCTATTGAGTAGATTTTTCTTCCCCAGTTTCTGTAAGTTTCCTCTGGTTAGTGCATTTCTGTAATACTATTCTCTGTATTTCTTTTATTTTTATTTTCTTATACATTTTCTGGAGAAAAAGATTAATAAAATACTATCAGTTATAAAATAAGATGGATTTTATACAGCACGGAAGATTAACTTACAAGACTATTTTCATGACTTTTGAAAGATTATTTCACATAGAACTTAATTATATTTCTTTCTTTTTATCCTTCTTCTTACATGGTGAATCATAAATGCCAGATTCAAAGTTTCTCTCAGGAAGAATTATTTTTAGGTCAACCTTAAGAGTGGGATGGGGGTGTTGGTTCGAGAAGAAACTTCCAATTATGTTCCACACCCTTAATTAATGACTTAACAATAATCTGGACTCTGGGTGTAGAAGGAAACTATAAAGGAAATTGAAACGTGATCAGCCTAAGGCTTAAATCTGTTTTTTTGTTTTGGTATTGCTGAATGTTAAAAGTAAACATACCTATTCATAGTTTCCTAATAGTCAAAAATTTCTTTCATTTTCTGTTTGGCCCTCTTTAAAAAAAAAAAAAAGGATCTGAGAAGAACAGACAGCTGAAAAGCAGTAAGCAGTAGAGGAGGTGTCTGAGATCTTCCTCGTGTTTGCTAATAGAGCCTGGGGGATAGGTTTGTCCATGGACGAGCTTCTCTCCTGTCTACACGAGTTGTCCTACTTTCAGTCCACTGGAGCTCTCTGGCCTCCCCACATCCTGGAAGTTATAGGCTTGAGGAGTTAGGTTCTTTTTTGGTTGATGTCACTTAATTTAATTCTCACCAATCCCTTTCTTATAAAAAGCTTTGCTGAAGATTGGTAGGATGAGTAGAAAAGGCTCTCTTGAGTCATATGGATAATACTGAAAAATGACAGAAAAAGAAGAAAGAAATACAGTACTTTAAAAATACAAGGTAGTTGGCTTGGAAGCTGTGCAGAGTTGAATAAAAAACTAAATACCATAAAACTAAATTATTTGAATAAAAGAATAAAAAGAAAATTGGTTAGTCTACATAGCCTATTTTGACCTTTCAGGGTTTGTTAATATTGTTCATCATATGATATTTGGTTAGAAAGATGCTGGTTGCAAAATATGACTTGGCCCATGGTGTGGTAAAAGTAGCCTGGTGTGCCATATGTACAGCGTGATTTGCATATGCTGTGGCAGTGTAGGGTGGTAACTGTTGGGAGCTTTTTACAAACAGAATCTTATTTCCTCTGCTTTCTAGATTTTCACCTGATGGAAGATTAATTGTATCATGCAGTGAGGATAAAACTATTAAAATATGGGATACCACAAATAAGCAGTGTGTTAATAACCTCTCAGATTCTGTAGGGTAAGTCCCATCCTTTGTACATGTTTGTATGGATCAGTTTGCTAAGGAGACATGTCATTGTAGCATTTTTAAAAAGAAATGAGGATAGGGAAGGGAAGTATAGAAGCTCATTAGATTAGACAAAGGAGAATAAAGGGAAGGGAGGAGTAATAGGAATAGGAAAGATAATAGAATTAATTGGACATAAAGTTCCTATACTCATTTGAATACACAACCAGTGAAACTCCACATTATGTTCAACCACAAGAATGGGATCAAAATTGTAATGGGTTGCACCCCATCATGTACGTATAATATGTCAAAATATGCCCTACTTCATGTATATCTAAAAACAACAAATAAAAAAAAAGAAATCAAAATATTGGTCCATCTTAATCTTTCCTCATAGATTTGCAAATTTTGTGGACTTTAATCCTAATGGTACATGCATAGCTTCAGCAGGTTCTGATCATAGTGTAAGGATCTGGGATATCAGAGTGAACAAGTTACTCCAGCATTATCAAGGTAAGTCAGCTAACAAAAGCATGCAGGTTCTGAATGCTGCACTGGGAAGCACCCATTCCCCTCTTTGGTGTAGTTTGGCTCTCTACATGGGCGTCAGGGGCTGCCTTTGAATTGGCCATGAACTGTGTAGTAGCTCCCATCAATAGTAGAAGCAAGAGGGAAGAGGGAGGTAAAGGGATTTTAAAAAACAATATTAGGGCTATTTAAAAAGAAGAAGTTACTGTAGAGTTTTTCAAACTCTAGTTTGCTACTTTGTGTGAGAAGTCAGGTATAGAAACTGACATTGAATTCTGAATCTCAAAAGAGTTATATGAGTCCAACTAGATATCATAACTGGTAGAAAACGATTTCCTATTGTGCCTATGTATTGAAACTAAAAGAGAAGTGAGTGAGTTTTCTTGGCTTATATTAGAATTATATAAATCCACAATGTTATTGCACCTGAGTATAATAATAGCTATTGCTTACTCATTGTTCACTATGTAGCAGACACTGTGCTAAGTCCTCACAGTATTCCTAATAGGTATCATATTTCCTCCATTTTAAAGATAAGGAAATTGAGTCTTAAAGACAGTAACTTTCTTAAATAATTGCTATAACTGTCTTAGGTCTTTCTGCTGACAAAGTGCAAGGAAGAACCAAGTTTTGATCACTGCATTGTACTGCCTCCTATTGGAAGGATGGTATCTAGAAATGAATTCTCAGACTCGGTGGCAGGATTTTGCCTTTCACATATATCTCTACACTCTGTTACCCTTAATCCCAAACCCCTAATTGGTTATTAAATTTAATTTGAGGCTAGGTTATATACCTTATATGAGCTGTTTGCAATTAACTCTTAATTATATAGGTGATATAGCCAAAGACTTTACAGTTATGTGGTCAATAAGATTATCTTTATAACTCACTTCTCTTTTAGTTTCAATACATAGGCATGGTAGGAAATCGTTTTCTACCAGTTATGATATCTAGTTGGACTCATATAACTCTTTTGAGATTCATAATTCAATGTCAATTTCTATACCTGACTTCTCACACAAAGTTATTCTGTCTCATTAACCGGAAGCTTAATGTTGGGTATGGTCAAAATATTTATCTTAGGTATAAAAAATGTTGGTGTTATTGGAAAATGGCCTGTAATTGATTCTTGTTTTCAAACTAAAATTGATATAAGGTAAAAAGGGCCTTCTTTTGCCTTGTAACATACATATAATTATGTATGTTATAGTCCATATGTATAATTATTATAAATAAAAATAAATTGTATTGAAATGCAACTATGAAGTTATTAAAGATCATATGACATAATAAAAAAATAATTGTTAACTGAATTTTTGCTTTGATTTTCTACAAATTAGTTCACAGCTGTGGAGTTAATAGTATATCATTCCATCCTTCCGGTAACTATCTGATCACTGCCTCTTCAGATGGTACACTTAAGATTCTGGATCTCTTAGAAGGAAGACTCATATATACACTTCAAGGACATACGGTATTATTAAGATTTTTGCTTTTTAAATAATATGTATTTTAAAATCTTGATCCATTTTATTATATGCCTTTATTGTTTTTCTAGGTTGTAGCATACTTTGCCATTATCACCAAACCAAAAAAAAAAAATTTATTTCCAAGACTATGTTTTTTTGCTCTACAAATAACTCTTAGAAACACCATTTATTGTAATTCTTGTCAAAATCAATATCTTTCAATGACCATTAAGTAAATGGCACTGTCTTCATTAGAATGTAGCACAGTGTGATTAGTTAAATGGTGGTTAGTTAAATGGTGGTGGGTAAGTTTATTTATTACTTCTGATCTTTCTATCATGTGGAGCCTTTTTCACTAGCTTTAATAGCCTCCCACACCCCTTGCTTCCTCTGATTGGTGAATTTAGCAGGAGAACCCTGGTAAGGTAGCCCAGCATTTTCACTCTCCAGCCTTAGTAGTGAGCCTGACTTCACTGTTTTTCTGTGATACTTCTTAGGAGAGAGTTGTCCTTATCCAGTGTTGCCTGTGACTCAGTCAAACCTGGCTCATTGTGGGCATCAGTTCTAGAAAGCCTTACATAAAAGCCACATTCTCTTTCTATAAGCTTTTGTTAGGTTTTTTTTTCTTTCCTTTTTAAAAAGGTAATATTTTTCCTCCCATGTGCCTCATTTATTTCTTATTTCTCAATGTGCTTAGAACCAAGTAGGGAAGAGGAATTAAGAATTTTTTGAAGTATATAAAATATTCCTCCTTTATAGGTAAATATTCAGACTTCTCTGATTTTTTAATAATATTCTCTCTCTCTCTTTTTTTTAAATTATACTAGATATTTCCTTTTAACCAAGTATAAGCTGTTTAGGTAAAAAAATAGAGTGAACTTTATGGGGTTCTTTCCACCATTGTATTTCCTGCCTTGCTTTGCTTTATCGTTTGTTCTGTTAAGGGGAAGCATAAGTAGACTAACCAGCTCAGATATATGCATACATATAAACTTAAGCTGAATAAACACAACCCATGAAAGTGGACAAGGACTTAAATATTCATGAAAGAAGTACAAAATAATGAAAAAGATAAACTATTTAAGAGAAAAACACTATACATGAAGATGGAATTTTTCATAATCTGAAGATGAGGATGTTGATGAAGCTTTAATATTCTTAAGTCTGGAATGGTCTATTGAAAAATACCAAATGTTTTTCCCCCAAACTTGTCTTATATAGGTTAAAGGCATATTAAAATGAACAGAACATATTAATATTTGAGGAGAAAATAATCCCTCTTATCTTGACTGAAGACTGACCTGGAGGCCATGCATCTGACGGCTATGCTGAATTCAGTGCTGAATGCATCCCTCACCTGTGAATCCCTTATTCCTCACCTAGGTGGTGGCAGTAACTGCCACACTGGCTTCCAGTCATTCACTCTTGCTCCAGTTCTTCATTATCACAGTTGTGCTATTGATTTTCAGAGTCACATCTCCTATCTATGCCCTGCTTTTAGTAGCTCACAACTGCCTACTTCAGAAGGGAGAACTCATTTCCCATTGTGTTCAGGAAATGACCTTTGTTTATGTAGGCTCCTTCCCATCCCCTATAGATTTATCATTCAATTTCTGCTAAGTTTTCAGTTAGTTGACTACAGAATATAAAGGCAGAAGATCTTAGCAGAAATTCTGATTAACTTACACATGTACAAACTTGTCTTTAAAGGAGATTTTTTTTTTTACTAACTGTTAGCATTCCTTTTTTGTTTAGTATTATTTAATTGGGTTTTAATTGAGTTGGTTCTTTTACTGTCTTTCCTCTGTAAGCATTAGTTGCTAGAAACTAGATATGTTCTGTCAGACTTACTGCATAAGTACTCTATATAAATTGTGATGAAAAATTGGTACTCACAGTCTTCTTTGCCATCAGGAAGCATTACCAGTGTTTCTTTTGTCTCCCTTTATGTCTCAGGGACCTGTATTTACTGTTTCATTTTCCAGAAGTGGAGAGCAATTTACATCAGGAGGTGCAGACACACAGGTTTGTACATCTTTCCGCTCTCTCTTTGATGGGATAGAGGAATTTGATTTGAATAAAGCAATCTTTGACCTCTGTTGGGATTTTTATGGCCAGCTAGTTTGTGTATGTTAAGATGATTAGCCATGGGTTTATATTTCAATTTAGTGACAGGAAGTCTGCTATCTCATAGCTGAAACAGTTCCAATTATAATAGTTTTTGGAATTCAGCAGTTATTTTCTTTTTCTGATTTCACACTTAATTATGCATGTAACTGACATGGAATGTGTAGTTTTATGGTATAGTGCTTTTGCTTGGATTATTTCCAAATCTTTTTCTATATATCTTGTTTTTGTGGAAAACAAATGTTAAGCTTCTTGAGGGTGATAAGTATTAATCATTTATGAAGCTTATTTGCATTTATTTGAAATGGCCAAAATTATTTATAGTCAGATTTATTAAATAAAGTAGATGACCTAATCAAAAGCATGGTTTGGACTTTTGGGAAAACAAGAGAATTTTAAGTTAATATAATATTATCTTATTATGAATTTTAAGGCAGACATGAAAGCAACTTGAAATACTAAATTTCTCTCCCCACTATGTCTAAAAAAGTATGGAGAAACAGTAACACTGCTGAAATATACATGCATGTGTATGTGTGTATGGAGATAGACATATATCCTTTTTGACTAATTTGAGGGACAATTCTGTATATTTGGTTTCTTATAAATAAGTCATTTATGTTGTTTATACATTACAAGCAAATAACTACCAACATTATTGACTTTTTTATAGGTCTTATTGTGGAGGACTAACTTTGATGAATTGCATTGTAAAGATATTAATAAAAGAAATCTCAAAAGACTGCATTTTGATTCACCACCACACCTGCTTGATATTTACCCAAGAACACCACATACTCATGAAAGAAAATTAGAGACTGTTGAAGTGAGTATTTTGTGCATATTTGTCCTAAAGTTTGGAGCTTTTATTCAAGTAGGTGTTTGAAATTATATTTAGTTATATAAAACCTAGTCCTACCCTAAAATAAAGAAAGTCTATTGTTTTCACTAATAAAACTATATGCATGTGGTAGTGTATAATAATGTGAAAGCCTTTTATATTCATTTCTTGAAGGCCTTGAAATAAAGCTAAAAATTGTGTGACAATACTATAAGATAAGAAATGAAATCTAAGGCCTCAGGTGACTGTGTGGTCTGGCTGGCCTCATATTCGAGACATTTTTAGGGAGGTCATCATATGAAGTACGTCAAGGGACTGGGAATAAAGGGTACAAATTTTCATTACAGTTGTTGAAATAGGTATCTTAAAACCCTTCTGTAGTTAAAAAAAAAAAAAGAAAGAAAAGAAAATCTTATGACCAGAAAAAAAAAGAGAGTTAAGCATAAGCCTAATAACTAAAACCATTTTATTACCTGCCTACATATGTTTTTGGATATGTAATTATTTAACTCTAATTTTGTGTTGTTTGTTTTGTTTTTCTCAGTACTGGGGGTTGAAATCAGGGCCTTGCACATGCTAGGCAAACACTCTACCTGCCACTGAACTTCACCTGAGCCCTTTACCTTAGTTTTGTTTATGTGTTCCCTTAGGTCATATAGATTTACATATGCTCTCATCAAAGAGAAATTCTTTGCTGGATATTTAGCTGGTGTTAGCCTGCTGATTGCCATTTTGTATAATTCTTCTTAATCTCTTTTCTTTTCCAAGAGCTAGTATCAGAAATCACTATTGCCTGTTTATCTTTTTATCTGATTCTTTTTCTTTTTTTTTTACCATTTAAGAGATTTTCTTTGCATTTAGAGTGGGTATTTTGAGTTCTGAAACTTGTTCCTGAGTGGCAATGCACAGTAGCTTGTCACTATTTCAGGCTTTGTTCTCAGGTCTGTGGTCTTCCACATCAATTTCTTCTCCCTCCTCTTCTTCCTCTTCCTCTTTCTCCTCTTTCTCTCTTCCTCCTCCTCCTTCTCTTCCTTCTCCTTCTATCCCTCTCCTCCTTCTCCTTCTTCTTCTTCCCTCCTCCTTCTCCTCCTCTTCTACTTCTTCCTCTTTCTTTCTTCCTCCTCTTCTTCCTCCTCCTCATCCTTCTTCTCTTTCTCCTTCTCTTCCTCCTCCTCCTTCCCTCTTCCCCCCTCCTTCTCCTCTTCATTTTATTTTTAATATTTTTAAATTGTAGATGGACATAATAACTTTATTTTATTCATCTATTTTTATGAGGTACTGAGGATCAAACCCAGTGCCTCACTTGTGCTATGTAGACACTCTACCACTGAGCCACAACCCCAGCCTCATCAATTACTTTCTTAAATTTTGATTTCCTTAGTCTTGATCCTCTCTGTTACCTCAGGCATTTCTGTTGGCCTCAGTTGTACAAGTGTATATATGTTTTTTTCTTTCATAATTTTTTAAACTATTTTTAAAATTTTGTTTAATCCATTTATATCTTTGGATTTCTGTCATAGTTTTTCCTTGATTGTATTGGTTTTCAATTATTTGCTATAATTTTCTTCCTCTTTTTCTTCTGACAGTCTTTCTGTTCTTCTAAAGAATTAGCCATTGTGCTTCATTACTACTTCTTTTTTTTAAAGAGAGAGAGAGAGACAGAGACAGAATTTTTTAATATTTATTTATTTATTTTTTAGTTTTCGGTGGACACAATATCTTTATTATTTTTTATGTGGTGCTGAGGATCAAACCCAGCACCCCCTGCGCATGCCAGGTTAGCGCGCTACCGCTTGAGCCACATCCCCAGCCCTTTATTACTTCTTTATGCTACTTCTTTTTTTTTTTTAAAGAGAGAGTTAGAGAGGAGAGAGAGAGAGAGAGAATTTTTAATATTTATTTTTTAGTTCTCGGCGGACACAACATCTTCGTTGGTATGTGGTGCTGAGGATCGAACCCGGGCCGCACGCATGCCAGGCGAGCGCGCTATCGCTTGAGCCACATCCCCAGCCCCATATGCTACTTATATCTTATATCATTTTTTTTTCTGTTTTTTGAAAGAAAGAATATAATTTGCTTATTGTTCATCTCATTTTTTATTCAATGTCTTCAGCTGTAGGTATGTTTATTGATCCCTGCAATTACATATGTTAATATAAAATAAAGGTGAGCTATATTTTAATTTAACTTGAGTATCCTTATGTTACTAAGGCTGATTGTATTGGCTTTTGATATCTTAGCATTTCTGTGGCTTGGCTGGGCATGATCAGGAAAGAGATACCCTATTCCCCTATCATCTACTTAGCCACCTCACCAGAGTGGTGAGGCCAGGCCTAGATCTCCTCACTCCTATTCAGTATTTTCATGACACAGTGCTATCTCAACATAGAGATGCAAGCCATTTTCTCTGTGATTTACTGGCAGCCCATGTCCGTTTAAGAAAGCTAGACTTTCTTTAAAATGTCAATAAGTTGTCTGAGTAGCTCTGACCTGACTGTACAGCCAGAAAGCTGAAAAATCCACCTGGGTTATTTAGTATTTCGAGGTCAGGATGACCCAGGCCATGCAAAGCCTCTCTCAACTGTATTTTTCAAATATAAACTTAAAAATTCTATTAAAAACTGACTTTTCCTTCTGGAATTAGAGTTCACTTGTACTACAGAAAGAGCATTGTGATTGAAGGGTTTTTGTTATTGTTCTTTTTGTTTTACCTTAAGGAAGTCAACCTTATATATACAGTTTAAATTATCGTCAAACTCTCATTACTGCTTGAATTTAAGTATATGGCTTAGTTTTGTAAATCCTATGATATGAATTGCCAAGGAAATAGTAAGAGTCTGCATATGAACATCTAATTGTTCAGGGTTTTTTGTTTGTGTTTGTGTTTTTGATAAAAATTTCATAATAAAGCAGAGGATAATGATTATATAATTATATATTATATAATTATAATATTATGAGAAAATTATTAATTGCTAAATTTTTTTCTTTTATTTTGTGATTTTCTATCTATTTATTTATTTATTTTCCTTTTTGCTGTGTGTGTGTGCGGATAGGGGGTTGGGGGGATGGTACTGGGGATTGAACCCAGGGCAGTCTGCCCTGAGCCCATCCAAAGCCTTTTTAAAATTTTATTTTATTTTATTTTTGAAATAGGGTCTCAAGCCTTCTGAGTAGCTAAGATTACAGGCATGCACTACTGCCCAACTCAAACTGTTTTTTTAAACACTTTACTTCAAATTAAGGCATATGGAAATCTCCAGAGCCAAAAATCTATTTAATTTAAAACTTTCACTTAGAATGAAAGAGTATGAATCAGGATAGAAACTGTGCAGTGTCAATTTATGATTAATAAACTATAGTGCTTGTAGAAGGTCAAGGTTTTTACTATGAGGTGCTTCTTCTTTTCATGTGATTTAATTTTTTTTAATTTTATTTTTTAGTTGCAGTTGGACACGACATCTTTATTTTACTTATTTATTTTTATGTGGTGCTGAGGATCGAACCCAGGGTCTGATTTAATTTTTTTGAGCAATTCCAATTTCAAATGGTTAGACCAAATTGTATTTTCATTGGTAAACGTCTTACTATTTACGCTAGGTGGCAGTAGATAGAAGAGAATAAAATGTCTGAAAGCAATCTCTGGACAACTAAACTAAGACTGAAAGGAAATTAAGTCACCCCCAGGTTACTTGTCTTTGCCTTCGATGCAAACTCAGTTTACAGCTGGAGGCTTGGTTGCTTTCTGCTTTATGGAACAGCCAGAAAGAAGCAGAGTGCCGGCTGGCTGGACAGTAGTCCCTCATGCTCATCCTACACAGATTTTTCCCTCCTTTACTGTAACAAGGCAATTATTGGACACATGCAACTCCATGCCTAGCACTGTTTGGCTGGATAATTATAAAATGTTCTGTTTCTGAAACGACAGTATACCCATCAAGACTGATAAGTGTCTTAAAAATCATTCTAGTCTTCTAACTGCCAGCTCAGCCTTTCTTGCAGCAGTGTTGGACTACCACAGTAGTGTCTCCGCTGCTACACCAACTTATTCTTTATATTCTACACATCCCTCCCAGATTAACCTTTCTAAAGTATACTTTAGATATCAACTTTTTCTGCTTTGCCAAATCCCTTCACCCTTTATAATTTGACCCTTGCCAACCTCTCTAATTGTCTCTTTTTTCTACCCCGTGCAAAAAGTACTGTCAGCTTTCTGCCACTGTGCTGAGAAATGCTCTTTAACTCATCTCTCTGGTTTTGTCTTCTAAGCCTTTTTAAGGCCGCATTCAGCCACATTTCCTCCATCGGAAGCAGCTCTCACTGTCTAAGCACTTGGGCAACAGATTCTTCTGGGAGGTTCTTTAGTGCCTTCCTGTTAGGACCATTCATTTGACATAAAGTTCTGCATCGGTCTTTTCCTTTGTTTACTTCTTTGTATTAATGTTGTTTGAATTTTTGTTTGTTTTTGGTCTGTTTGGATTTTGAAATAACTTTCCTCAAAGGTAGTCATCATTGTAGGTAATCATTTCCTTGTTTTTCTTTGTGTTTTTTCTATATATGTTTAAAATATGTTATTCACCTATAAATGTTTTTGGACTTCATATCGATGAAATCATATTGAATATTTATTTCTGTAACTTGCTTTTTCATTTAATATTAAGATTTTTAGATTTATATATATGAATTCTGAATTTATATTTTCAGATGTTGTACAGAGTTTTTTTTCATTCATTTTTTGCTGTGTAGTCTTGCAGTTAGTTTGCCACAATAGTAATCCTCATAATCTATTTTACTATTAACAGACATTTGAGATATTTCTAGTTTTTTGGGTTTAAGACATTTAAACAATATTAAAAACAAAGGTGATATCATTGAATTTTCTAGTTTTTGTAATCTGATAGGTGTTAACTGATATTTTCCTTTAATTTTATTTTTCTTTAATTTTATTTTTCTTTAATTTTCTCATTACTAATATTTCTGAGCATCTCTTCATATGCTGATTAACTGTTACATTTTTACTTCGATTTTTTTTCTTAGGGTATAGCCATTTGTCACAATGATTTGTTTGTAGATTTGTGTATTTTAGATATTTATCCTTTTTCCATTTTAGGCATCATAATATCTCCTCCTTTATTATCTGATTGTTAACTTTGTGGTGTCCATTGTTAAACAGAAATCCTGATTTTTTATATAACCACATCCATTTTTTTCTTTATGGTTTTGCTTTCTCAGTTTTTAAGATGATTTTCTCAGCCTGTCTTTACAAAAATATTTTTTTACTTGTTTTATAGCTTTAGCATAACAATGAGTTTTCTGATTTATTCACTGCCTGCCTTTATAGCCGTATTACTTAGGGATTCATACAGTGACCTGTTTTTCTCAAGTATAAATCCTCTGTCCTCTCTTATGTTCCCAATGTCTCTCACTAAATTTATTTCCCATATATATTTCTAAACTCTTTATAGCATAGCTTTGTATTTATTTGACTCTTCTTTAATGTCAATATAAGTTTTATTCATTTTCCCCCATAAGGTCTTATATTTTTGTATATTTATTCTGATATATTTTAAAATATTTATGTTATCATAAATGGTGTCTTTTTAAATGTCATGTTTTCTAACTGTATGCTTGAATGCAGAAATGCAGCTGATCTTTGTATCATGATTTGGGGACTAGTGGTTTTGTAAAATTCTCTTACTAGTTTCAGTGATTTAGCAATAGATTCTTTTGGGATTTCTTCCTAGGTAGTAATTTTATATATCAGTGAAAATTTATTTAATCTTTTAAAATTCTTATATCTTAATATTTTATTTCATTTCTTATCATAATGAACAGACTAGGATTTTTTCTTCATCTTTTTGAGGTGGGTCATTTTATTTTACTTTTAATATTCCCTTATAGGTAAATTACATTGATTTCTAATGTAAAAATTACCTTGTGTTCCTGAGATAAATTCAACTTTTTAATAGTCTTTTTTTAATGGATAGATTTGGTAGACTACTATTTTACAAACGTTGTATGTATCCAGTTTCTGTACACAAATAGCATCCAGTTTCTTGTGGTATCAAAAAAATTCATATTAACTTTTTTATGTATATGCACAGATTAATCCAAAGCTTGAGGTAATCGATTTGCAGATTTCTACTCCCCCTGTTGTGGACGTCCTTTCTTTTGATTCTACCACAGTAAGTTTTTTGTTTATTTGTCTGTTTGTTTTACAGTTAACTGGAATTTAATCATTTGACACAATCTGTATCCTTAAAAAGTATATAAGGGAGAAGATAAAATGTGGGCTAAGTAGCCTGACATTTTAGCCTAGAACAATTTTGTACAAAAAGTCACATGTACAATGTATCTTAACAGCCACAAGGGGGAGAAGTGCCAATTTTCAGAATAGCTTTTACTTCAAAGGCCTTGTGCTCTGTCTAGTTGGTTACCTATTAAGGAACCATGCAGTTACTTATTACTGCATAGTAACAGGTACCTGCATAGTTACCTATTAAGGTGACATTTCATACCTATTAAGGTGACATTTCACTTGCTGTGGCAGAACATATCCCCCACTTTGTTTCCAGATGTGCTAAACTTACTTCTAGACTTTTCCTTAGAAGCTATAGGAATAGCAGTCATTTTGTTTTATTAATCTCTCGATGTATTATCCAGAAACTAAATATATCTAATTCTTGGAACTTATTCATTTTGTCCAAAGGCTCCAAAGATTGAAAGTTTGAGCCTTTCAATTTAGAAGTCAGCTTAATCTTTTTGAGGCAAATTATTGCCACAGTCAATCCCGCTAGTTAGTACAAAACTAGTGTTAAGAACAAATGGGAAAAGCAGCGTGGCCTTTGGTGACACTGCTGTTATGATGTCAGTGTTGTTAAATATTTGGGATAAATTTTCAGTGTATGGCCAAAAGAGGAAACAAGACTAAACAAGTAAACAAACAGAAATTCCTGACACTATAGCATGGCAAACTCTCCAGTAGATCTCAAGAATGGTCATTTCTGTAGAGGAATTCTTTGGATTACCAATCCATTTTATAGACTCTATCTTATACCAGAAAACATTCTAATCATTCAAGGGTCTTCTAAGTACTCTTTCAGCTTTGCAGGTCCTCAGGCCCCGGGGAATGCAGATGTTCTTGATAGGCAATGTGCTAGGGAGGTGGGCAAAACTGCCACCCGGAAATGAGCAGTGCCAAAGTCAACTAGTCTACATCTTAGTACCCTAACCCAGGGAATGTGGTATATGTGAGACTTTGAGAAGACTAGTTTGAATAACAAGCACATGACAAGTTTAGCAGTTCTCTTATAAAACAGAGTGTGATTATCCACAGAAGGGATAATATTACCGTGCATATGTGAATTTCACTGAAAGACACATAAATTGACAAGTGAGATTAATTTTTTAAATGTTTGCCTTCCCATTAATGTACTAGAAGTAATTCTTGATCTGTAGTGTTCTGTATCCATTGACTGTTTTTCTTTTGCTTCTGAAAAACAAATCAGACATATCTATAAAAGAGATTTTTTTTTCTGCTTTCACATGGAGCACAATTGTACTAAATATTTTTGGCATAAACTTTGTATGTGATTTAATTTAAAAATCCAGAGAAATATTGGAAACCAAAAAAACAAACAACAATAAAAACAGTGTTTATAGATAGTTTTTGTTGTTGTGATTACTCTTTCTCTTGAGGGTTTGTTTGGTTTTTGTAGACTGGAAAATTTTCCTTAGAAGTTCATTTCATTAAGATAGGACATAAAAAGGTAATCTTTAGCTGGACCTGGAGGCACACACCTGTGATCCCCAGCTACTCAGGAGGCTGAGGCAGGAGGATTACAAGATCAAGGCCAGACTGGGTGACTTAGCAAGACACTGTCTCAAAATAAAAGATAAAATGAGTAGGAATGTAGCTGGGTGGCAGAGTATTTGTCTAGCATATACAGGGTCCTGGGTTCAATCCCGGGACACCCCCCCACACACACACACACACAAATTATACTGGGGCATTTAGCATTAGCATTGATTTGGCTTCATGGAATATCCCAGGCTCCTTCTTTATTCTCTCCCAAAATGGATGAATATGAAGTAGTTTTGTTTTTTGATTTTTTGTTTATTTTTTATGCTGTTGGGGATTAAGCACACAGCTACAATCCTGGCCCAAGAGAAGTTGTGGCGGTTCTTTTTTAACTTACTATAAATTATTTGGAAATACTCTAGGACTATTGCAATTTGTTAGCTTTGGGTAAATTGTTTTCTAAGTTTTGATGTATTAATTTTAATAGTTTGTCATACAAATGAACAAAATGAAGTTGATAATCTTACTCTTCCTTTGATTGTCAAAGCACCAGGCTGTTCTTAAAGAGCTGACACAGTGTTCTTATCTCTATCCCGGCAGCTGTGCAGAGTGTGAATGTAATGTATATACTTTTCTTTAGAATTAGGAATAGTGTTTCAGGTCCAATTGATTATTTATAATACATTGGAGTCCTACATTATAGAATGAAAAATTCAATGATCTACAATGCATTGTTATTCCATTATCAAAATAAAAACGTACCTCATGAAGACATTACCTGAGATGCTAAGGAGGGTGTTAAGATGGTTGCCTGAACTCAAGAAGCATGCAGCCTAGCCAGGTAGAAATAATCATGTAGGAAAGAAGTCACTTTCAAGACACTTGGTGCCAACAGTACATGATTGTCAGAGAATGATTGCTGTGGGAGTATTCAGAAGAGGTCATTATTGGACTAGAGGAAATGGGAGGACTTTTATAGAAGAAAATTGTGGTGAGTCCCTGACCTGACTCATTCATTAAAAGTAGATGCCTCCAAAGAAAATGAAAATATGTACCATGGTCATAAAAGTGTGTCATTCCAGGTTGGGGTCTTTATGTTGCTACCTCAACAAATGGCAGATGTGATAAAACCCAGGAAGGATACCCATTCATGTACATCTACACTTATCAATAAATATTTATTAAGTAACGGTTCTGTTCTTTAAAGAAAGGAACAAAACAAAGATACCCGCCCTAGGTGTTCTAGTCAGGAAAGAAGCAGTTTACTAATCAAAAAATAAATAAACAAACAAACTTTATAATATAGTGGACCAGAAAAACATAAAGGTAAAAAACGTACTAAAGGCAGATGGGAAGAGGACTGCAGTTTCAGATGCGTGGGCAGGCCAGGATGTATATGACAGGTGACATTTAAGTAAAGAACTACAGGCATGAAGAGAGTGAGTAGAGTGGGTATCTGGGAACAGCACTCCAGGTGAGCGGGTACAATGATAGAAGGCCAGACCTAGAGTGATATAGGAGCTACCAGAGGGTTTTCTGTAGAAGAGAAACATATTTGACTTATACCTTAACAGGTTCACTATGGCTGGTGTGTGAGAACAGGAGGCTGCAGGTGGTGATGGAGGGATAGGTGACTCATGAAGAAGTTAATAGAATAATCAGACAAGAAGCCAAAGCAGCTTGACCCAGAGTGGTTGCAGAGAGGAGGTGGTGATAAAGGATCTGATTCGGGATATATTTTGAAGGCAGAGCCAAGAGGATTTCCTGACAGATTGGTTGTCGGTTGTGGGTTTCCCTATCTCCTTTCCGCAAGGACAGCAAGGTGTAGCCCTAAGTAATCCCAGGGTAGCTGAGAATATCTCCTGGCTCTTCTTCGTTTTTGCAAAGAGGCTGCTGGGAGAGAAAGAATCGTGGTTTTCCTGTCCTCAGTTGTAGGATCAGGAAAAGCAATCAACTAAGTCGGCGCAAGAGATATTCTGCCTTTTCCGTGACTTCGGGATATACACCCCTTCCTAAATGTCATTTAGATTTACATTTTTCAGCAAAATTTCTATTTTGGAAAGATTTTTGCAGTGGCCTATTTTTTAGGGAGAAAAGGTCATTCACTTTCATGGAGATCATTGTGTGGTATATGCTGCCTGAAAAATATTAATGTATTGACAAACTGTATGGACACACAAAGAGTAGACTTGCAGATACAGAGAGAATCCGTCCATGGATGTTGTGGCAACAGTGCATCCTGGTTACCAGACAACATTGCGTAACTAGTTCAGTTATTTCAGTTCCTAACTGCTTATGTAAGCAAAGATTTGGAAATACTTACTTGAAAGAACACAGTGTATGCAAACTTAAATGTCTCAAAACTAAAATTTATAACTTTAAAAGTATAAAATGGCATATGCAATTTATCGTCCCTAGATTTCCCCTTTATTTTTCTAGGAAAGTTCATAAAAATCTTGCTGTACAAACCTCCTGAATTCTATACTTTTCCATATGCTAACTTTCCTGAATTTACATAGAGACATTTAAATTTGAGGTATATAAGATTCTTTTTAAAGTTTTTAAACATTGTAACAGCTTATAAGGCTACACTGATTTATAAATTTAGTGCACAATGAATTCTAAAACTAAGTGTGTTTGTAACTTTGTGGCCGCTTAGTAAGCTTTGGGAAACAGGCATTTTTATGGTATCTTCAAGCATTGGGTCAGTGGTCCTGTACTATCTTTCTCCTGCCCCTGTTACTGTGTGGGTTAGGCATTTGTAAGATCCAGGCCTTTGGACTCACTAGTAGGTGCCTCCCTCAATTTATCCTCTTTCACTAAGAGAATGTTAGTCTTATAACTTCAAATGATAGTAAATATGCCATTAATTTTTTATGCATTAGTTCAAAAAGTTAAATGTTATGTACTAAGATACTTGACGGGATAAAGGAATTCTTAGAAGATTTAAGAAATAGTCTAAAAATATGGCCTTTTGAGATTAAAAGATGTGAAGTAATTGTCAAAGGCATTTAAAAATTAGAATATACATGACATTAACAGAAGTAAGTAAGGAAAAATACATTTCATAGCTCTCCTGCCATTTGGAAATAGAAAACACATTTAATATTTCCTCAGGTACAATCTTTAAAATAGATGAAATAAAATATTAGGGATGGGGAAGAAACTATTTCCAAATTGGTTAGATCCTTGCTTTTGAAGCACATATATTATAAAAACTACCAACAGTTGTGAATGCAAGGCTGACCTTTAAAAAAAAAAAAACATGCTTGAAATTTCAACAATAACAACTAAAATTGTCAAATTCATTAAAGGAACATGGCACCTTTTTTCAAAGAGATGTGTGTAGCTGATGCTAGCTGTAAAATTTATAAAGTTAGTGAT